TCGATAGCCACTTACTAAGCACCAATTATGTGCCAGGCATCAGTCTTGACCCCCAACGCATGGCATAAAATCCAAAGGGGACGACACGTGAAACTTGATGGAAGACTAAGCATGTGGGGATTCCCATCATAGAAAGCATAAAGATCTGCTGACTGGTACTAACTTGGGATTTGGCTTTATAGTCTCAAGTCATTGAGTAATAGCAGAAACAACTATTGAGGAGGGATGGAGGCAACAGAATGTTTGCTATACTGTCATGGAATTCTTTACTCTATGGCTTCCAATCAAGGATTCCACTTTATCACCATCAGTCTAAGACTGGCTCATGGAGCATGAGATACAATGAATATTCCACATGCTAGATCACTCTCAAGCAGTTAGCATTATACAACACAGAACGTTATTAAGGACTCGAATAAAACTTTCAGAAGGCCATTACCTACAACATTAGGAAGGGACACTGCAGGTGGCAATTTATGCACTCAACTAGCAATCATTAAAATGGCTCAGTCTTTAATTAGGATACATGGGTCTGAAAATCAATATATAAAAAAGAGAAAAAATGTCTATCACAAGTGTTAAAAAAAATAACATATTCAAAAAATTGTTTGATTCCCACACCCATGACTTCTGGAGTCCTTAGCCTAGCCACCCTCTGCTAATAGATCTCAAGCTACCCATGTGACATAAATGGAAGAATGGGTCAGAGGCTACATAAAGCTTATTCTTTGCCATTATTCATAGGTGTAAAAAAAAAAGATCTATGGGATCTCAAGATGAAAGCGAGAAAGGAATTTACACTCTATAGTGTACATAATAGGGAAAGATAGTTGGGATGAACTGTATATATAACTATTTTAGTGTGTACAGTGTTCTAGAAGACAGGGGCCAAGGAGGAGGGAGGCTATCCAATCAGATAATCAATAAACATTTATTAAGCACCTACTACGTGCTAGACACTGTGCTAAACTCTGGAGACATAAAATGTGGTACCTTCCTCACTCAGCTTACAACTAATGGAGGAAAACAACTTTCAAACAAATGTATACAAAGCAAACTATACAAAGGATAAATAGGAAATAATTAAGAGAAGGAAGACACCAGAATTAAGAGAGCCTCAGAAAGGCTTCCTGTAAAAAGTGGGATCTTAGATGGGACTTAAAGGAAGACAGCGATGTCAGTAGATGGAGATGACAAGGACAGCAGGAAGGACAGCCAGGAAAAAAAAACCTGAAGCCAAGAAATAGTGTGCCTTGTTTGTGGCCCAACGAGGAAACTGGTATCACTAGACTGAAGAGTATGTGGTAGGGAGTGTTTCTGCAGATATCTGTGATGTAAATATAATGACAAGGAGGAAATGAGAGAATATGAAGGATATGTGTCAACATTCTACTGTTATACTGTTACGTTTATGTTGTGTATGTGTGCTACCTACAATCAGTGCTGCTGCATTTATAATGAAATGTATTAAAATGTCTGCAATCACGTATAATACTAGATGTGTGACAAATATAGGATAAAATACAATGGATAAATAAACTAAGTGAATTTGCAATGCACTTATACTTATGACATATTTCATCTCTGTGTTTATAATATTCAACGATTAATTTGGTCAATGGGAGAATCCCATCTAGTCATTTGTCATGTTCCTCATGTCAACAAATAATTGAAGTAAAGTTATTTAACAGGATCAAATGTGTAATGCAATAACCTCCAAAAAGATTATAAGAATTTAACTCCACAAAGGTAGCACATACTGTCTGTGTGACCATATACCAAGTTATTTAACTTTCTAGAGCCCCATCCAACAAAAATGATAATTTGCAGATCTGTAGTAGAATGACCAAATTTAACTTAAGCCCAATCAATCTTATCTTGCTCTCAAGTACACATAAAGTCCATTTGTCTGTCTGAAGGCCAGCCTGGAAAGATCACGAGGAAAAGATAATGCCAGCAGGATTCTGCAACTGTTAGCATTAAACTGCTTTTCAAAAACAACAACAGAATATAGGTATTTTGTTATTGACCCACAATCATCGTTCACTGCTTTAACCTGTATTATACAGTGATGAGAAGGGCTAGAAAATGTTTACAAGCTGATAAAACAATTAGCTGACTCATAAAAGCCTTCTGAAATACCAGTCAAAAGCATGCATTATTTCTTGAATCACAGTGAGCTCTAGAAATCATTTTCTCTGTCGGACCAATGTAAAAGCCTGTGTCTAACCAACTGTGAGTTTACTTGCCATGCCTCTGACCATTTAGCTACTTGCCTTTTTTAAAACAAGAAAACATATAACATTAACAGATGCAGACATAAGTAGAATTAATATGACAAATTAGATTTAATGCAGTTCCACAGCTACAAAAGCAATTGAAAGTAGCATCATATTCAACAGTCCTTCTTTGAGCCATCCAATTCATCTGAAACAAAGGCCAGACTCTGATGGATATAAATTTTAATTCTTTCCAAGGGGTTAAAGCAAAAATCTGCTATTTAAAACTGGTTTCATTTTTGGTCACTATCTTTCCTCTCACATTCTATTACTGGTCAGAAACTTGTCAGAATCACTTAACTTGTTCCCTGCGTGTCTATGCCAGTGCCAGTGTGGATGATTTACATGCCCTAAGAGCCATCACAGCTACCGTATCAACAAGAGCTATCAAAAATTTCTATGAAGAATAGGAAAACCCTGTTTCTAACTGAAAACATTCTGCATAGCAAGAAACTAGTAACTCCGTAATTCAGAGTAAATGTTAATTAACTGGTTCCATCTCACAAGATGTTCTTCTGCCACAGGTTGTAACTAAGCCTCCAAAACAAATGGATGTAAATTCTGATGAAGATAATATTTTTCATTCTTGTCACTGCACCTCCAGTGCCTTAAACATAGTAGATATTCGATAAATGCTTACTAAATTTCATGTGAAAGTCAAAAATATAAATTTTCTCCCATTTAGCTTCACATAGCCACAAAATTTATTTCCCTTAGTTTTGGTATCCATACTTACCCACATACAATTATTAGAAAATGAGTTCTGTTTCTAAAGATCAGAATCAACGTGGTCTATGTGGCAAACTACGTGGCCAATAACAGCTTAAAATTCATTGTCAAAGGCAGAGAATAATACTTCTAATGTAAAATTAATCAAACGTAATAATTATGCATTTTTTTCAGCAATTCTCCGAAAACATACTTTAAAATTGATAGTAAAGCCAGGTAACCACTAATAAAAGCTACATTTTAAAAAAATGAATCATTTTAAACTAGATAAATCTAACCAAAAAATAAAAAAGAAAGAAGTTAAGGAGGAGAATAGAATTTTATAAAAGCTGGATACGGTTGACCTCTGGAGAAAACTGAATGGGGATAGAAAAGAACATACCTTTTTCTCAGTGGTACATGGCACCCACAAAAAAACTGACGGGCATAAAAAATCTCACAATCCAATGCAGAAAGACAGAAATATTAAATGCATCCTTTTCAGATCATGATGCAATAAAATTTACACGTAACAAAGGGCCATGAAAAGACACACTAAAAATTAATAGGAAACTAAATAAGCTAATCCTAAAGAATGAGTGGGTCAAACAACAAATCACAGAAACAATTACTTCATCCAAGAGAATGACAATGATGAGACAAAATACCAAAACTTATGGGATGCAGTGAAAACTGTTCTTAGGGGAAGCTTTATTTCTCTAAATACTACATGAATAAAATAGAGAAAGAAGAGATCAATGAATTGAGCATGCAACTAAAAATGCTGGAAAGAGAACTGAAAATCTCCAATTAAATACCAAATTAGAAATTCTGAAAACCAAAGGAGAGATTAATAAAATTGAAATTAAGAAAACTATTGGACTAATAAATAAAACTAAGAGCTGGTTTTATTAAAAAACCAATAAAACAGAAAAACCTTTGGTTAATTTGATTTTAAAAAAAAGGAAAAGAAAACCAAATTACCAGCATCAAAAATGAAAAGGGTGAATTCACCAATGAAGGGGAAATCAAAATAATAATTAGGAGTTATTCTGCCCAACAGTATGTCAATAAATTTGACTTAGTGAAATGGATGAATACTTACAAAAATATAAATTGCCCAGAATAATGGAAGAGGAAGTAAAATACTTAAATAACCCCATTTCAGAAGAAGAAATTGAACAAGCCATCAATGAGCTCCCTAAGAAAAAAATCTCCAGGGCCAGATGGATTTACAAGTGAATTTTATCAAACATTTAAAGAACAATTAATTCCAACACTACATAAATTATTTAGGAAAATAGGCGAAGAAGTGGTCCTATCAAATTCTTTTTATGATTACAAATATGGTGTGATACCTAAACTGGGAAGAGCCAAATCAGAGAAAGGAAATTATAGACCAATTTCTCTCATGAATATAAATGCAAAACTTTTAAATACAATATTAGCAAAGAGAATACAGCAACTTATCTCAAGGATAATATACTATGACCAGGTAGCATTTTTACCAGGAATGCAGAGCTATCAGCTTAATTGTCCATATCAACAACAAAACTAACAGAAATCACATGATTAAGCATTTGACAAAATACAATACCCATTTCTATTAAAAACAGAGAGCACAGGCATAAGTGGAGTCTTCCTTAAAATGATAAGTAGCATCTATCTAAAACCATCAGCAAGCATTATATGTGATAGGGATAAGCTAGAAGCACTTCTAATAAGATGGGGGTAAACAAGGATGTCCATTATTACCACTGTTATTCGTACTAGAAATATCTGCTTCAGCAATAAGATAAGAAAACGAATCCTTTTAATTTGAAAATTAAAAGTAACCCATGCTAAAAAGGTCTACATGAGGTTAGAGAAGAGAAAATTTACTGTAACCTTAGAGGGTTTTTGGTCACAATTTTAACTTAATGAAATGAAAAATAGTGAAATGTCCATTAGACACAATTATCTATTGACTTTATTGCTCTCCCCTTAATAAAAGATGATTCCAAGAGGACTTACCTTGCACAGGGGTTACTACTGTTCCTTTGAAATGTGGATTTATATGTATGTTCTTCGGTTGTTGAGGGGTGACTGGTGGGGGGGGTCATCATTATCCTGGGTGTTTCCATTTGGGGGGGCATATGCATTCCTTGAGGAGGAGAAGGATGGTGTGGATGCTGTAAGGGAAGCAGAGGCTGGAGCTGTTGCTGCTGGAATAGACTTCTAATAGGCTGCTGTTGAGGAGGTGGCGGTGGAGGTGGTGGAGGTGGAGGTTGTGGTTGTGGCTGTGGTTGTTGTTGAGGTGGTGGAATTAACCTCGGTGAGTGAGTCTGAAAACCAAAGTAAGAAATAAATCCAAACAAGTAAAAAATCATTTTAGAAAAAACTAAGGAATTCTGATTAAATGTAAAGTGTTATCAATTAGAAAATGTGCCTACTGTATATTGGACAATTTCTGAAATCTAAATCAATTAAAGCCATTTACAGTAAAAAAAAAAGTGGGATTATTGGTTTAAAGTGAAGTAAACATTCAGTATAGGGATTTAAGAGAAAGGTAACCCTCTTAGTATTCTGCTGAGCAAAGATGAGACCAAAACTAGTGAAATGACAAACTGACTAAATATCCCAGGCAATCCAGGACTGTTGCCACTGGCATTTACCAAAACAATCCTGTATTACCATCTTTGAATTCCAAAACAGAACCACATCACCCACAGTGTACCCTCAGAGTTTAAAACACTGTAGACTAAGTAGTCTCAAAGGTCTCAAGTTTACACAGTCTTGCTCAAATCCAGAGTGGGTGGTATAACAGGTTTTTATCAAATATCTACCCAATTTGCTACATTTCCCCATAACGTCCCCCTAATACTACAGAAATTTTATTAAAGACATTGCATTTTGTTTTTAAAATGTGTTTACATTCTCTCATTCTATTTTTTTTTTGGTTGGGCAATGGGGGTTAAGTGACTTGCCCAGGGTCACAAAGCTAGTAAGTGTTATGTGTCTGAGGTCACATTTGAACTCAGGTCCTCCTGAATCCAGGGCCTGTGCTCTATCCACTGCGCCACCTAGCTGCCCCAACATTCTCTCATTCTAACAAAAAATGAGGTGCACTGAACAAGTATTATAGACAAGGAAACTGAAGTACAAAGAAATTAAAGTGAGTTTCCCAAGGTCACATTGGCCTGTAAATCATATTACCAGTATTGTCCAAACTCCTCAATCTCAGCCTAGGGTTTTCTCTACCAAGTTATACTACTACTGGTTTGTTTTTTTTTTTAAATATATACTAAAGAAAAACAGGGAAACACTGTGGGGGGGGGAACCGTTTGGTAATTGGGAATGGCAACAAACTAAAAAAAGAGATGGTCTGGTGATGTTCACATTAGAAGTGATTAACAACAATACAATCTTACACACATCAAATGAATTCCTCATGTTAAAAAATATCTTCTTTTGTTTTTTAGATTTTCAAATCGCATCATTGCTAAAAATTTAGAAAAGGGAAGTACACTGAACATACTAGAGGTCAAAAATTCTATTTAATTTCAGTTTAACTTAAGCCCTTGAAAATTCAGTGACTGAAAAATCAAAAAGGAGCACCATAGCCTAAAAAAAAAAGTAAACGTTAAAAATGCTTATTAGCTTCTGTTCTTGTTTCACAAAACACAAGAAGGAAGTGACATTAAAGTACATTTATAAATACTAGATCTATATGAAAAATTAGTTTTAATGCTTACACCAACACTGGTTAGTTTAACTAATCATCATCATCTTCCTCTCCTCAATAAACTTCAAAGGCTCTGCATTACCTCTGTCTGGTATTCAAAGTCTTTTACAATTCCCTTTCTTATCTTTTGAAGCTTGTTACATTTTTCTCCACTGCCCTCATTTTATAATACAGCTACACTGGTCTCCTTGCTGCTCCTCATCCCTGACACCCCATTTCCTGACACCACGAGCTTGCACAGTGTGTTCCCTATGCATAGAACGGTTTCCCTCTAGACTTCTACTTTTTAGTTTGCCCAGCTACTCAGCTCAAATCTCACCTTCTCCCACCACATCTCCCACCCCAACTGCTAGAGCTTTACCACTGTGATTACTTTCTATCTACTCTGAATTTACAATGCATGTATATAATTATTTGTATCCCCTATTGGTATGTGAACTCCTAGAGGACAAGATCAGTGTTTTTGTCTTTCTTTGTACCTTGCCCCACACCCAGAAGTGCAGGTCGGCTGACTGATAGTAATAGCCAGGACCCAGTTTACAGATAATGAAACAAAGGCCAAAAGAAGTTAAGTGACTTATTCAAATTTAAACAGCTGGAGTGTAAAAATCAAACTAGACTCTAAATTTCTGGACTGAATTATTCCACATGATAGGAAAAAAAGCACACCAGAGGTAGACATGTACATATGTTTGCATGACATTAACAGGCTACAGGATTATTACGTATTTTTTCCTAAAACTATACTATGTAATGGTGAGAATTTGAACTAATACTAACAAAATATATAATACTTTAATATAGTCTCAATTGTCCATGCAATAGGCAAAACACTATTTTATACCTGAAGAACTAACTACAGAGGTCTGCTTTAGGCCACGAGGCCTGTTAAGAGTAGAGTCAGAAGTAGTACCCAACTCTTCTTTCCCTTCTCTATCATATCACATTGCCTCAGCATATCACACCTTTAAAGTAAATCTAATAGCAACTTTGTCTTATCTAAACTTCAGTTCTCCTGCAGTGCCCAGAACAGTATTTTGCAATAAAGTGAGCACTTAATATTTTCAGACTCTGCAGTTTAACAATTAAATCATGCTTTAACTTTTAATTTCAATCAATTCTATATAATCTCTGGGTCACACATTTATAGAAAGCAGGCTTACAAACTGATGAGTTGGGGGGTCTGACTCACTCCCCAAAACCAAAAGTGAAAGAATATTAAGATGACATTAAACATAATTAGCACAACAATGTACATAATACTTAAAAAATTAAAAACAAATCACATTTGATGATACTTTTTACAAAAGACATAAAGATGACCAAATGTAACCAAGGATAATTGTCACGTCACAAAATTTCCTTCAGTTGGTCTCATTTAATAAAATTCCTTTTCCCCAAATATAGCTGTCTGGTACTCTTGACAGTAAGGTTGCTTTTCATTTAAATTCTAACTATCCTTTAGAAATAATTATTAAAATGTTGCCTCCAAGTTCCCTAAATATCAGTGTTTCAAAACTATGACATTATTTTGAAATAAGTACAACAATTTTTGTGAGGTCATATTGCAGGGAATCATAGGTAAAAAGTGTATAAAAAATAAAAATATGCAAATAACAATCCTTAATCATTTTACATAATAAAAAATGGCTACCACAATAAAGAAACCAAGAATTTTCAGAAGCCAACTACACAACACAGTATTAAAAATTTACATATCAATAAAACCTTTTTAATGAGAAAATTTGCTATTTAAAGGAACAATGAAGTGGATGTTTTCTAAAACAATCTTTGTGTAATCTAAGGAATAATAAACAAATAAGTTTGGAGTATATATACCAGATTGTTTTAAAACAGATTTTTCTTGTGCCAAAAGAGGGTAAAGTCAAAGAAATTAAAACATTTCCCACTTTGCATGGTATTTTAGGACTTCAGGCCTTAACTGGTTATGCATTCATGAAGCTGATATCTATCAGCTCCATCTTCTTAAATTTATTAATCTCACAAACAAAAAGATATCAACTAAATCAGATGTACACAAAACAAAATATTTTTCTTTAAGGTATCGACTCTATCAAAATGAAAGAACCCAAAAGTTACCACTACAGGTGGCTGTGTAGGTAGAAGACCAGGTCTATGATCTTTTATTCTTCCTCTTTCACTGTTATCTCTTCTCTGCTCTCCCATTCCACGGCACATTAGAGAACCTCCTCTCCTTCCTCCTCGCCTGGAACCATATCGTCCCTGTTTATGTTGCCGTTCCCTTTCTTCAAATTCAAGCAACGCAGCTTTGGCTTCAGCTGAAAGTTCTATATGAAAAGATGCACACATGTGAGCTATCCTCTAAAATATTAAACTGGAACTAAGAGAAGATGAGAGAGGAATGGGTAGGTGATCATCATATAATGAGACTCTGCTATATTCTGAATAACTATTAAGCTGGTATTGAAAACTGCCATTGAAGCTAGTAGTGCTAGGACTCCTCCAGGAAATAAGATAAAACTTGTTTATTCTTTGTTTACCTTTCAGTGTTAATTCTTTTGTGACGGCAAACTAGGCCATCTTTTGCCTCAATTCGTACCTATATAGGCATTGCCTCAGACAACTGAGACCCAGGAAAGATCTTAGCTTTAAAAGGCCAAGGTCTCTCACTGAATCAGAGGCCATTGCCAGTCATCCTGACCTATGTTTTGCCACTAGACTCTGATGACTCTGGAGGAGTGAGTGAAGCTGAAGACTGCACAGCTCTGCCTCATTGAAAACCAATTCACTTGCAAGTCAAGACACCACCCTGCTGACGTCATTGGTCTCTTCGAGAATGAAGGATGAACAAAAACTTTTCAGTGACAAAATAAAATTTGCTACATAAGAGATAATATGCTTTGGTGAAAATATTACATAACTCTTTGTACATGTGGTATCGTTAAAAGGATCCTGATTTAGGAACCAAAAGGCCTGAGTTTAAGTCTCCACTGTGCCACTTAGAAAGCAATGTGACCTGGGTAAGTAAGCCACTAAAGTTCTAAGAACCTCTTCTGTAAAATGTAGATAAAACTTACACTACAACAAGGTCATAGGTTATGATAAACTGTTTTATAAACCACAAAGTGTTATATAAATGTGAGTTTACTATCAACACCATCAACCTAAGTGAAATTCAACTGTTTCAACTTTGAAATACTCAACACCAACAGACTCCATAATGAAGCATATCTCTCTTTCATCTTAATAAGATGTGAGACTATAGGTACAAAATGAGGTACAGATTTTCAGATATGATCGTTACAACAAAAGTCAGGTTTATTTTGATTACACTTTGGTCCCAAGAGAGAAGTACAAGGTAGAGGCAGTTAAGAGCAGAGGATTAGGGGGAGGTTGTGACAGTGATTTAAAAAACAACAACAACAACATATCAATGAAAACAGCATGAATGAAACATCTGCAATTCTACGGAAGAAAGTAAAAGGAAGTTTAGAAAAAAACAAAAAGGAAAGTAAGAGCAATGATAGGAACACCATGTGTAATCTGAATTTTTAAAAATAAAATATATATAAGGTTCACAATTTCAGATACAATTCTAGTTCTCTAACCTTCGAAATGTTGGAAGTACGGTTAATGATTTTTCTAGTTCATCATCTTAAAAAGTGGGGGCAGCTAGGTGACGCAGAGGATAGAGCACCGGCCCTGAAGTCAGGAGTACCTGAGTTCAAATCCGGCCTCAGACCAAACACTTGACACTTACTAGCTGTGTGACCCAGGGCAAGTCACTTAACCCCAACTGCCTAAAAAAAAATTTTTTTTAATTTAAAAAACACAAATATAATTTTAAAAAGTGCTTTTTAAGAGAAGTTCAATTGTTAAATCATCTTTTTTTTCAGAGTATAAACAAGAGATGAGCTTCAGTTTGCTTTCAAGAATGGTATTAATCAGAATCTTTTCTGGTGCTAAACTGAATAAATTGCTCTCCCAGTTTTTAAAAAATAAAAAACAATAGGGGAGTTAATTTATAGAATTAGATAAATAACAAAATTCTTTTGAAGGTGGAAAAGGACCTAGGATCTCAAGGGAAATTATGAAGAAAAAAAAGTACAAATAAAGGGGGAAACTATTATTTTCAGAATTCATACTATATTATAAAGTAGTAATCATCAAAACGATTTAGAAGGGATTTAAAAAAAAAAAAAGAAAAAGAAAAAGAGACCAGGGGAAGACACAGCATAATCAAAATCCAGGAAGTAACACATAGAGACCAGTATCTAAAAAGCTAAGACAACAAACTTCTGCAGGAAGAATTCCAATTTCCCTTTACAAAAAGAACTGCTAGGCAAGTAGTAAGGTGTAGAAAGCATCTAACACCATATGCCACAATAAGCAGAAAGCACTTAAGTGACCAAAATTTAAAAGGTCCCCTTATTTTGAAGAAAAAATATTAAAAGAACAGAAAGAGGTACCTTTCAGAGCCAAGATTAGAGGGAGAATTCATAACCAAACAATACATATAGGAGATCACAAAAAAAAGTACATTTGAATCACATAAAATTAAAGGAAACTTTCGTACAAACAAAAAAACGATGCGACTACAAGAAAAAACTATCAAGACAGTGAGGGGGGAAGGGGAATTTCCTTAAAAGTGTTTTTGTGGGTCCTCATTACTCAAACTGCAGAAAATACATCTAGATACTATTCTTAAGAATATTTCATCTATTTTTAAACAGCACAGAATTTTATTAAAATCTTAACTACAGAATTGCTTCATACACACAGTTTATGCAGTGAATCAGCAATTATTTTTCTAGTAGCTCTAAGTGTCAAGATTAATTTCACTATCGCTAGTAATAAAATGGTTTCAAATGACATCTTTAATCAGCAAGTAAGAATGCCTTCCTCCTCCAATTGAGACAAGCTGTCACAAAGGTCACCAAAATGTGACAGGATGGAAATTACATTTGTAACTTCAACTGAAATGTTAATTTCACTTTAAAATGTTTTCTGAACTATGTCCAGATTTTAAAGCAAAGGGATGTGGAAAGTTACAGTGCTATTCATTTTTTAAAATATTCCAATGCATGTAAATTATGCTTACATGCAAATAATTTCATTGAAAATTGTTTACTAAATATATATAATTTGTTTAGCAAAAGAAAAAAACTGTAAATGATTTAAATGACATTGCTAGAAGGTCTTTTGCAAGCTAGCAAAAGCAAGCACTTATACAGCACTTGACATCTGTTAACTCATTTACACCTCACAACAATCTTGGAAGGAAGGTAGGCAATAAATGTTACCCAAAGTTTCTGGAATGTTTCTTCTCTCTCTAGGTACATCTGAGAGCCTAATGACCGTTCCTTCTTTCCGTTCAGTTTTGAAACGCTGTCGTCCAGATTCTTCATCATCTTCCTCCTCTTCGTCAGATTCCTCTTTAATTTCCTTTTGGAGTTCCAGAGTTTCAATAGCTCCCTACATTACAAATAGAACATTTTAAAAAAACGCAAAGAATTAATACCACTTCACATTATAGATTTTGTGATTCTCAAAAGGTAATAAAAAGTTCATGTTTATTTATGAAGGGCGCAAGCTGGAAAATGCCCCATTTTAGCACCACATATTAAACATGGAATATAGTATAGGAAAGCAGTCTCTAAAACTTTAAAAGTGAGCTTTTTGAAAGAAATATAGTCACCAAATAATATACTTGTTACCAATTTCCTGTTAACATAAGAGTTATACCTGGCTACACTTTCTCTGAAAAGTAGATTCCAGAATCCAAAATATGCTCCTGGAATTGTCTTGTGTCATCCCTACCAAAGTCCTAAACCCCAGTTTGAGGAACAATGAGAATAAAATTTAATCCCAACAATTAATTTTAATGCTATAACTGTAACATACTGTTAACCTATATCCCTCCCCTGAATAACGGCACTCCCATAATTTCCCTGTTAAGTGTTCATCATAAAATTCTATAACTTCTATCACCACCCTATCTCTATCTTCTCTGATTACCAGGGTCCTACAAATTACTAAGCTAAGACTTCATCTATGTGCCTGTGCATGTACAAACCCAACAATGATGCAACATCAAAGCAAGCATGTAACTGCACCAAGGGTGTCAAAAGCTAGGCCAGAGAAGTTCAAGTCCAGAGGGGTTCTGCCAAGTTGCAAAGGCTTTAGACGTGGATATGGGTTCAAATATTACCTCTCAGCTTACTATCTATGTGACCTTGCGCGAGACATTTAATTTCCATGGATCTCAAATTCCTCATCTATAAAATGAAGAGGTTGGATTATAGGGTTTTCAAGCTGTAGTTCTCTGATCCTATGGGCTTGGTAATCAATCAATCAAGAAGCATTTATTAAATAGCTGCTGTGCTAGACACTGTGCTAGATACTGGGGACACAAAGAAAGAAATGGCCCCCAAGTAACTAGTCTATTTGAGGATACACTATACACATGTAAGCATATACAAAACATGCACAAAATAAATAAAAGATAACTGGGGGGAAGAACTAGCAGCTGGTGAAGGGAAAGGAAGTCAGGAAAGGTCTCATGAAGAAGGAGATCTTTGAGTTGAGTCTTAAAGGATGCCAAAGCCTCTAAAAGAATAAAGTGAGGAAGGAACATGTTCCAGGTAGGGATGAAAACTGCAAATGCATAAAGACAGTAAATGGAATATAGTGTGAGGAAGAGCATGGAAGTAAGCCTGGCTAGAATGCAAAGGGTACACTCTAGTGGCTAGAGCACTGGGCCTAGAATCAGGAAGAGTTGAGTTCAAATCCTGCTTCAGACACTGACTAGCTCTGTGACTCTGGGAATCACTTAATCCTGTTTGCCTCAGTTTCCTCATCTATAAAACGAGCTGGAGAAGGAAACGGAAAACCACTCTGGTATCTTTGCCAAGAAAACCCCAAATGGGATCACAAAGAGTCGGACACAACTGAAATGACTGAACAAAAACAAAACCTCGTTTGAGCCTTACCAACAACCAAGTGAGGTAGGATAAGTATGATTATCTCCATTTTACAGATAAGGAAACTGAGCTTCAGATAGATTAAGTGACTTGCCCAGGGCCACACTGTCAGGTGAGATCTGAATAGAGGTCTGCCTGACTCAAAGCTAACTACTCTGTGCCAGGTTCTATACTAGGCATGAGTATACACACAAGGATACACAAGCATATGCAAAATAGTTACAAGGTAATTTAGTGGGGGTGGGATATTAGGAAAGGCCTCTGGTAGAAGGCAATGCTTAAGCTAAGTCTCAAAAGAATTCTAAGAGACAGCAGCGAGATGGGAGAACATTCCAGGAAGTGGGCCCACCCAGTGCAAAGGCATAGGGATGTTAATGTTATATACAAGGAATCTAAGAAGCCAATATGATTAGACCATAAAGTCTATTAAGTAGAATAAGGCTGGAAAGGTAGGAAGGGTGAAGGGCTTCAAAAGACAGAGCAGTTTAGGGACAGAGGGTCACTCAGTTTTATCAAGTGGACGAATAGCACAGACAGAGTGGCAACTGTGTGTAAGGTTAGATTAGAGAACAGTCTAGAGTAGGGAGGAACCTGAGGCAGGGAGACCAATGAGAAGGGGACTGCAACAGTCCAGCTAACAGGTGATAAGAGTTCGAATTAAAGGAAGGTAGTAGCTGTGTAAATGAAAAGGAGACAGATGCAAAGGATGCTGCAGAGATAAAAATAGCAAATCATCGATAAAGAGAATAAACAGGACATAGTTGAGGAAAGACTACCAGGTAAATATGCCAGAAAAGAATTCATTTAATCACCATTCCCTGGGCTTCATCGTCCACACAGTTCCAAATCCACTAATTGTACTCGATTCCACTTGTGGTATAATGGAAACAGCTCACTGAATTTGGACTCAAAAGGACCTCACTTTACTACATATTATTGGTATGACTGTGGATAAGTCACTTAACCTTTCAGGATAGTAAAAGGAAGGAACTAAATTAGATGATTTCGAAATTTATTATCCATAACTCTCCAATTTGTTAGCAAGAATATCTCAAGAGGCTTTTGTTTTTATCTTTGTATCCCCACTGCCTAGGACATAGGAGATACTTAATAAAGACTTACTGAAATACATGTATAATTTGGATTGATACATGCTGTCTCTTAATGATCACTGCTTCCTATTCAAACTATTCTCAAATCAACTATTTAATATGCATTTTATACTGTATTGTGTCATGAAAAGGCCAGACTAGCTAAGTTCAGGAAGGTTCATTAACAGAAGCCAAATCCCTGGAAAATGAGTCTGTTTTCAGTTACAGAAACTCATGAAGGTTATCCTCTATAGCACAGGATTTGTGACCAGGGCTGGGTCAAAGATTCAAGGCAGACTGAGGAAGGGACCCATACCTAGCTAGAGGTAGTGTTCAAGGGTGACAAGCAGTCTCCAGGGTCAGAAAAGGAGTCTAATTAGAGAGGACCTACGAGTACTTCTTTCACCTTGATGACCTTAAACAGAGGGGAAGAGGAATAGATTTGTAAAAGGAGTAAGAGAGAGAAAGGATAGAGAAAATTATCTTATACCGGAGGTGGGAAAGCACTGTCTACATAAACCAGGAAGACGGATGGGAGCAACAGCTGACACTTAAAACTTTTCTCTCATTTGAAATGATTAAAGGAGGGAAGAATACATGCACACATTGGGTATTGGGTATAGAAACAGATGTCAGTAGACAGGACAACAGGACGGAAAAGGAAGAAGAGGGGGGGATAAATCACAAGGACAGATTAAGGGAAAGATTAACCCTAAGCAAAACAATCTCTAAGGATATGGGGGAAAAAAGCAGCTCTTTTTGTGATGGCAAAGAACTGGAACTGAGGAACTGCTGAATGAATTATAGGAGATATGATGGAATATTATTGTATGGTAAGAAATTATGGAGGGGATGGTTTTAGAGTGACGCAGAGTGAAGTGAGCAGAACCTATGAAAGACTTAAGAATCCTAATCACTGTAATGGCCAACCACAATTACAGAGGACTCCCAATAAAATACCTTACCCACCTCCTAACAAAGAGATAAAGGACTCAGAGTGCAAACTGAAATTTTTTTAATGGACATGGCCAAAATAGGAATTTTTGCTGCTTGACTAATACATACACACACACACACACACACACACACACACACACACACACACACACACACACATACACACACACACACACACACACACCCCTATGGAATCTTTTTTCTTTCATGGTAGGGATATATAGGGACAGGAAGGATAAAGAGGAAGGGAGAAGGAAGATTTTTGCTGACTGAAAACAAATTTAATTAAAACAGCAACAGTTTCTTGAATCACTACTCCCATAAAAAATTTTCTTCCAAGACAAATCTCAAAAACCAAAATTATTTGGGTTTCAGAGTTCTTCTGATTATATAGATTCAATTAATTACCAAATTACAAAAGATTTTAAAGTACATTCAATTTAAAGTTTGAGATTAGACTGAAATCATATTTTCTTCTACGAACAATTACCCAGAAATATTTCTCAAATGAATGCTTCCTGTTCAAATTTTATTCATTTAAATTTAGTCCTTTTTCAAGTATTTTGTTCAATTAACATTAACATTTATGACAAACACACATCTAAAATCCCCTTTTGCATCACAATAAATTTACTGCATGAACATCACACAATGCACCTCAGTACTGCAATATGGCAAAGCAATTTTCACCACTGGTTGAAATATTCACAAGAATAGCATTCCTATCATTTTGTTTCACTAGTTAAGAAGTTACAAATATAAGGTATATATGCATTTTAAGAAATAAAACATTTAGAAGCTAATCAAACCATTTTTTCTATAGCTGTCTTTTATGTAAAGACTGCCAAATGATTCCATTGACAATTTAAAATTCTTCCTCTTAGAAAAAACTCATTTTTCATAAAATGTAGACATAAAAGGGATAGCTCAGATATACCACTAACAGAAATCAGTTCTTTTTAAATTGTATTTTTTCCTCTCGCATGCTTTTTCCTGTATGTAAGGTCAACTTTCCAAACACAACCTAAAGTATCTACAAACACTATCTATTGTAGCTAGATAAATATATAAGATAGGTAAATGCACACTGTATATTAAATACAAATTTAGCCACATAATACTTCATATACTTATACATTTAGGAAAATACACTGTCCATTCATCTCAAAGAATCAGTTTCCCTGCTACCCTGATATAATGAAATCCCTCATCCCCCAATCAAAAAGCACACCAAAAAACTCTGCAATAAGAACCTGTACACAATCCAAAGAAGTTAATCTTAAGAATGAAAACTTTTGAAAAGCTCTCATCCTTATGTCAAATTGCTAATTTAAAATAATAGCAAGTAGGTAAGGTAGCTGTGAACAGAATAGTATATGTACAATCAGAAAACCTGGACTTGATTCTCAACTACAAAGTTTTATTAATTTCAATTAGGCTCTCA